AATTAGATTAAATTAGATTACTTAGATTAAAAAATAAATGCTCTGACTGGCTTGTTTATGTTGACTAAAGTGTTTTCATGATTAATATAAGTAATGACATACACTAACTGCATGAATGCACTATTACTAATACAAATCCAGGCAACATCATGCAATCTTGCCACCAGCAAGATTAGCAAAATGTTTAAAAATATGTCAGATAGATGTTGGAAATGTAAACATAAGTCAGGCACGTATTAGCATGTTTGGTGGACATGTGATAAAGTAAAGAATTATTGGCAAAAAGATACATACTTAGTTAGAAAAGATGTTGGGAGAACATGTAAATTTTAAACCTGAACTTTTTTTATTAGGTATAATGCCAGAAAAGACTAACAAACAAAGCCTATATTTGATTTTGCATGTCACAACAGCGGCAAGAATAATATTTGCGCAATATTGGAAAAATGAAGGAATACCATCAGATGAAGAAATAATTAAAAAATACTAGAATGCACAGAGATGGACAGATTGACTATGAGACTGAAAGAAAAAGAAGAAACAGAATATTATTGTCAGAATCCAATTATATTTCATTTCTAGTTATCTACTATGGAAAAAAACCATTTCTGCTCTCTCTGGATTCTGTCATNAAAAAGGGGGGGAACAAGGATCATCGCCCGGAAGAACTGTGGGGTGGGGGGCTGCTTGGGAATGCTTAAAACATTGAAGGATGGGAGAGAATTTCTCAGATCCTGTCTAGCACACCTACAATCATTTTCTCTTAATAAATATGCCTGTTGGAAAAGATATTCCAAGAGTTCTGTATTCTTAAGATGTAAAGTGAGGTGGGTCCTTACATTAGACAGGATCTGCAAAAATAGTCCACCTGGAAGGGAGAACCGTGCTGGGGGACTTTGCAAAAAATACCATGTCAGACAACGGAGCAGGGAAGGGAGAAAGCCCCCCAGAGAGGGAGCCGCTGCCCCGACTGAAAACCTGCCAGATGTTGGGATCTGAGAAGTCAGATTCCTCAGGAGAAGAGGCGTTGGAAAGAAAGGCGAGTGGGAAAAGGAATCAAGAAAGGTGACCTTGACACGGGGGCCCACCAAACCAGAATGGAAGCAGGAGATGGGGAAATTCCTGTATGCAAGCGAAGAGGAAGGAAGCTGGGCACCGCACTCAAGCTGTATCCTAGAGAAAGCTATCGACTTGATGAAGAAAACCCTCAGCTCCCTAGGAGAGAAGAATTCTGAGCCCTACGGCTGCACCAGCTCCTGGAGCTGCAACTGAAGAGACACCGAGGGGGAAGTGGAACCTGCAGCCCCGGGGATGTCCGCTGATCCAGTAGTCCCCACTCCCTGCTGACTCGCAGATGGTGAACTGGATGGAAGGCAATACCACCGACAGCGAAGGCACCAATCCATTCAAAGATTCCTACCACTGGACGTGAGATTCAAGGGGAAGCCAACACGCTTGGGATTTTTCCTAACCCAAGTCCTAAGCTACATGGAGCAATACGGGCGGCACATCCCCAGTGACAAAGCCCGTATCAGGATCGTGCAATCTGCTCTGGATGGGCCGGCCGCAGATTGGGTGGTGAACTTACACGACTCCAATGCCCCAGAGTTCAACGACTTCAACCATTTCATGTCCTCTCTGAGAAGGCGATTTGAGGACCCCCTGGCTGATCGCAAAGCCCGCAAAAGGATCAAAACGATGAGGCAAGGCAAGCGCCCGGTAGCCGAATATACGCAAGAATTCCGGGCCATTGCCAGCAAACTGAACTGGCCGGAAGACATCTTCCTTAGCCATTTCAAAAACGGACTAAATTACGACCTATATGACGCTTGCCTGCCCCGAGGGGACCCACACCAACTTGATGAATGATACGTCCTGGCAGAGGAAGCAGAGATCGACCTACTGAAGAGGCACCGCCGAGGAAAACAATGGAGCCGCTCACCGCCTGAGTTGACACGTGAACCAGTGAAACCATCGGCTACGGCCAAGAAGCAAATGGGGTGTTTCAAGTGCAGGAGAGAGGGGCATCGGGCTGTAGAATGCTGCTCAAAAGCCCCCCAGCACAACCCAGACAGATCACTGGCCAGCAAATCCGGGAAGTCTCCAGCTAAGCCAAAAGAACCTGCCATGAGAGTGATGGAGGCTGTGGAATCCCCTACCTCTGCTCATTGGGGGGAAAGAACTCCAGCTTACACCACAGGGCTGATGGATGCCTCAGACGACAGCTCAGAGGGCGAACCCCTGGTAAGTGGACCCATCGGACCCATCCTCAAGACAGTGACTATATTAATTTCCCCCATGCCCAAAGCTGTCAAGGTGAAAGCCTTAATAGACTCTGGCTGCACCCGCTGCCTCATTAGCCCGATGCTAGTGGGAAACCTGGGCATTCCATCGAGGAGACTGGAACAACCAATCTCATTTGGCCAGTTAGATGGGTCCATAGCAGGGGGGGTGCCAGCTACCCTAGCCACTTTACCAATCCACCTCTCCCTGGGCAAACATGAGGAAGACATAACGTGGTAATCTGAAAGTCAAGGTCAATCTGAGTCATCAGAAAAAGGGAAAAGTTGCAATTTTAGCTTTTTCCACAAGGTGTCCTCAGTACAATGTAAAATCTTCTCCCATAGACCAAGAATCTCATAAACAAGATCAGGAAACAGGGAGGAAAAAAAGCAATTCAAGTCCAATAGCAGATTCAATATTAAAAAGTTTTCCAAGACCCCAAAGTGAAAAAAAAGAATAAAAATAGAGGTAAAAAAAAGTCACTTTAAATTAATTCAATCCATAAGCTTCTTTTTCCCACACTCACCAACGCCGCCTTTTCAGAGCAGGGAGGTAATTTCAAAAGTGCTTTTTACAGGCACAAAAAGAAAAGGAAAAATCAAGAGAGGGAAGGTAAAAAGTCTCACCCGGCTCAGCCACGGTGGTTCCAGTGCTTAGATGTCCTTCTGACTTCTGGTTTCAGCGGCTAGGTGAACAGCCATTTTACCGGCCATTCTTTCCACCGTCGGCCCAAAGGAGCAAATGTCGGTCCCTGGAAGAAGCTGCTGCTCTCCCAAGGACAACGAGGACCTCCTCACCGGTAGCCGCCCCTCCAAGGTGGCTTTCGACCCAATTAAGGGTCTACCGGCAGTGGAGAATCAGCTGGTGAGGAGAGCAGTCTCCTCACACAGCTGCGAGCGCCGCAATCCGGAACCAGAAGTCGCTCCATGACACTTTGGATGGGTTACATTTACCCCAAATTGCAGTCTTTTGACTTTGAAGGCCCCCCTGTGTGTTACAATTGTCTGGGCCTCTGCAGATGCCTCATCAACAGGTAGCTGTTGATAGGCCTGTGCCAGGTCAAGTTTCGCAAAAATGCACACACACCCTTGAGGGAGGCCAGAATGTGGCTTACAACAGGCACTGGATATGCGTGCTGTTGCAACGCTTTATTCAGAGTGTACTTATAGTCTGCACATATACGGATTTCCCCATTAGCCTTTAGAGGCGTTACTATGGGGGTTTCCCATGGACTAGAATCCACAGGTTCTAAAATGCCCTGCTGGAGCAATTTGTCCAGCTCAGCATCTATCTTACTTTTGAGGGCAAAAGGCACTTTTCTAGGCTTGACCCTGATGGGCGTGATAGTTGGGTCTAACTGTAGTGCAATGGGAGGCCCCTTGTAGGATCCTAGCTATGGACTAAACACATCAGCAAACTCCTTGCAAACCTCTGCAAGGCCCAACATTTGCAAGTTGTGCAGCCCAGTTACTTGGATTCCCAGAGCCTCAAACCAATCAAGTCCAATAAGACTCATACGTTCACCCCCAACTAGCACCATATCCAGGAACTCCTCAAAGTCCTTTCACTGTACTTTGAGTGTGGCCTCTCCCTTTACACTGACTTTAGAATTCTGAAAATCAGTAAGTATTAGATTCGATGGCCTGAGTTTAACTCAAGGGCCACTACTGCTGCAAATCCTTTTGAAGGTGTCAAGTGAAATGATTGATAGAGCGGACCCTGTGTCCAACTCCATCAATAAGGGAGCCCCTTGCAACTTCACGTCAATGTGAAGTTTTTTCTTAAGGAGCTTGTGTGTCCCTGTTCTCAGAATACTCCTGCGCGATGCGCAGAAACCCACCCTGTGTTGGCTGGGGATCCTGGTACCTTTCTGAAGCAATTCTCCCTGAGGTTGGACCTTCTGGTGACCCAAACAGACGGAGGCAATGTGGCCTTGCCTGCCACATGCCCGGCAAATGGCAGAGCAGAACCTGCAGTCAGCTCACATCCTCCGCACCCAAAGCACTGAAGAGATGCTGGGGCCTTGTCTGGACGCCCCTTCGGCCTCCTCTCAGCTGGCTGGTGAAGTCTGTCCACCTCCTCTTCAGGATCCGCTTCTGATTCTTCTCAAGCATCCTCTTGATGGACGGTAGCAGTGGCTGGAGGGTTCCTGGTGAGCCGCAAAGCCCTCACAGCACTGCCTGCTGCTTCTTCAGCTGCCACCTCTCTTAACATGTCTTGGAACGAGACCTCTTCTTTCGCAAAGATCTTTTGTTGGAGGTCTCTACTCCTTAAGCCACACACGAAGTGATTGCGCAGCCTTTCTTCCAGATCCTTGAACTCACAAGGCTGCTTGTCTTAAGGCAGCAGTAAAATTCGCAGCAGATTCACCCGGCCTCTGGTCTCTCTGTTCAAACGCGTGCCTCCAAGCGATGACAGATAATTTCGGCTGGAAGTGTTCCTTCAACATCTTCTTCAAGTCAGCGTATGTTACTGACTCCAGAAGTGCAGGGGCCACCAGATTTTTCGTGATTTACTCTAAAGCAGTTCTCCACCCGTGCTACGTAGGAATTCCATCTCTCTGGGTGGGAGACATCAAAATCAGTCAAACGGCCAATCTTCGACATTGTAAGCTCTCCGGCCTTCGCTAATTGCCTCCTCTGCAAGCTCCGATTTAGGAAAGGGTTCTTTTGCTGAGCTCACCTCCAGCGACGCTGTACTGGCAGGCTGAGTCGCGAATGCAGGACGCCGTCTTCCCGATCGTCAGGACTTCCTTGGTGAGTCCTAATTCTTTTTCTTGCTTGCAGGGATCCCACCTTCGTCGCCAGTGTTGTGCTTTCAATTCGTTGGCAATTGACGAAGACACATGGTGAAAACAACAAGCTCTTTATTTCTCTCTCCTACAACCAAGCAAACAGCAAAAGGCACAAAGGCCTTTTATAGGGCCAGAAACCCAGATAGTGCGAACCAATAGGAATTGACCATTTTTGCGCCTTGCGCATACGCGCAAGACTGGCGCCACCCTGTCTGGTCCCAGGCAGCTTTTGGATTGCCTGGGACCATTTGCAACAATTCTGAGCCTGCTTTCAGCTCTTGCAAGCTCAGGACACAACAATTATTATTTTGGGAAGAGTGATGCTTTCTAGATACAGCATGACTGTTTCTGGTATGCATTCTGAGATGTGGGTCCCACAGGAATTCCTGTGATTTATTGGTGTAGGCAATTGTTAAACTGAAAGTAGGTAATAGTTCTATAAGGTTGGGAATCAAAATCGTGGTGTATTTTTTAATGTTTTGTTCTTGTGTAGCATAGATATTATTGTGTAGCTATTATGGATAGCCAAGAAAACAAATAAATTTAGAACAAATCAATCCAGAGTCCTCACCTGAGACTAAAATGCTCAAATTATCATATTCTGAATATTTTATGTGAAGTCCCAAAGAAGAAATAACACTAATTCTCTTTTTCTGGTATCCTAAATTGTCCATCATTCTTGGAGGTTTCCTTGTATTATTATCTCTTGTATCCCCTTCCATAGGTAACATTGGACTTCTCTAAGCAGGAAGAGCTTCCAGGGGCAAAGGTCAATCTGCACATAGAAGCTGCCCCTGGTGCTCTGTGCTCCATCCGTGCTGTGGACAAGAGTGTTCTCTTGCAGATGAACCAAACTCTGACACCAGAATCAGTAAGGAAACACAGCCTTTCCCACAGCTGGAGTCAATGAATTCTTCATCTATTCCTTTCCTCATGAATGCATGAGCAATAAAAAACAGGCTGTGTGTGCAAACTAAAGTAAATGAAATTATAAGCAGCTTGAGATAATTATCTGATTTTAATATTAATTAGAAGCTTTCAATCCAGAAGCACCTCAGTGTCTCTGAGTTTTAAAAAAATTAACTAGAGACAATTCTCCTGATCAAGGAAAGTGATGTTACCTTTGCACTTTTCAAAATGTCTTTGCAAATATTTTTCATGTATTTTTAATATCATTACTACTGTAAAGGTTAGGATCTTAATTTATAAAAAACATAAGTTCTAAATTGGCTAAATTGTGTGGCTAGAATAATATACTGCATTTTTTAAATTTGATCAAATATCTAGGGATGTTTCAATGTGGAAACAGATTTATGGGTCCTGTTTGAAATTTTGGTAAGATGGCTACTTAATTCTGAATCATCTGCAGATGCTACCAAGAGCCAGACTTCTATGCATATTGTGTGTAAGGACCCACCCCACTTTGCATCTTAAGAAGACAGAACTCCTGGAATATTTCTTCCAACAGGCATCTTTATTAAGAGAAAGCTGGATGCAGGTGTTCTAGACAGGACTTGGGTCCAAGCTCTCCCATTCAAGGTGTTAAGGGATCCCCCATTAGCCACACCCCATCACCCCCTTCTCCCAGCAACAATCCCAGGCATTACATTCTCACCCCCTTTTCCTCATTGCCGGGAGGAGACTTCAGAAAGGATTACATGAAAGCTAATGACCCCCATTGTTATTGTTAGTCCGTTTGGTGATATCCACATCCAGTCCCTTTGAAGTAGGCTGAAGGAAGNGTTTTTCATATTCTGGTTTGCCAAATTCTCTCTGCTTTCAGGTGTATAGGAGTCCTTACCCTTATCTTGAAGCCATGAATGCAAGAGTATTTCACTTTTATTTGGAAGATTTTGAGCGCTATCCTTGTCTTCCTTTAAAGAGTGAAAGGCAAAAAAAGCATTTGATAGCTCCCTGATTTCAAAGTCAGGCTGATGTTTACAGTCTGTTCAAGGTGAGTGACATTTGTACTGAAAACAGCTTCCTCCAAAACCTATGCTGTTTTGGCATTGATTGGAGTTCCATGAATAGGACACATTAATGATTCTAAATAGTGAAATAAATCACAAGATCATATTTAAAAAGAAGCTGTGGGAAAATTAGGTTGCAGGGTTATGGAAAGCAATTCAGTATTTAGGAAAAATATTTCTTTATTCATCAGCATAAACGATAAAATGGAAACTTTCAAGAAGTGACAACTGCCAGCTCTATGTTTCTATAATTTATTTAATAGAATAACAGAGTTGGAAGGGACCTTGGAGGTCTTCTAGTCCAACCCCCTGCTAAACCACGAGACTTTATACTATTTCAGACAAATGGCTATCCAGTCTCATATTAAAAACTTCCAGTGATGAAGCACTCACAACTTCTGAAGGCAATCTATTCCACTGGTTAATTGTTCTCACTGTCAGGAAAATTCTCCTTAGTTTTAGGTTGCTTTTCTCCTTGATTAGTTTCCATCCATTGCTTCTTGTCTTGCCATCTGGTGCTTTGGAGAATAACTTCTTGTGGCAGCCCCTCAAATATTGGAACACTGCTATCATGTCACCCCTAGTCCTTCTTTTTTACTAGACTAGACATACCCAATTCCTACGACCATTCTTGATATGTTTTAGCCTCCAGCCCCATAATCATCTTTGTTGCTCATCTCTATACTCTTTCCAGAGTCTCTCTCTTTTATATTGTGATGACCAAAACTGGATGGAGTATTCCAAGTGTGGTCTTAACAGTGATATTAACATTTCAGGTGATCTTGATTCTATCCCTCTGTTAATGCAATCTAGGATTACATTGGCTTTTTTGGCAGCTGCAGCACTTTACATGATTGTCGACTACGACAGGGCTTTTCAACTGGTGGTACGCATACCACTGGTGGTACTTTGGCACCTAGCAGGTGGTACCCAACTGTCCTAGACAATTGTAGTGAGCAAGGGGAATGAGGTGAAGCGCCGGCAGTGCCACACAAGCCTGAGGGAGACACAGCTGGAGCTGCAGGGCTGTCAGAGATCGGCAGAAGCCCCCAAATCAGTGCTGGGCTCCTGCTGATTGGCGTTTTTGGAAGCAGCGCGTAGCTGGAGGTGCACTGAAGAGAAAAAGAGGAGGGGAAAGAGAGGAGAGAATATAAAAGGAGGTTTGGGCAGGAAAGGGATGGGGAAAGACAATGGGGGAGAAAGAGAAGGGGACAGAGAAAGAGAGATGGAGAAGTGCGGCCTTGAGAAGAGGAATCAGTTGAAGGTGTACCGAAAAGAAAAGGAGGGGGGAGAGGAGAGGATATAAAAGGAGGTGGTTTTGGTGGGAGAGGGGAAAAAAAGACAACAGGGAAAGAAGGGGACAGAGAAGAAGCTGTGGAAGGAGAGCCCAGCAAGCAGGGAGGAAGAAGAGACAGGGAAGAAAAAGCTGTGGAAGGAGAACCCAACAGGTAGGGAGGAAAAAAAGAGAGGCGAGGGAGCAAGGAAGAAGGGCCGACCAGCCAGTTGACCACCAAGGTAGTGGTGCATATTAATAAATATGGATAAATTCATCATACATTTGTCAGAGCAAAAGGAAAGTGATTCTGCAAAGAAACCGCCACTGAAGAAATTAAAGCTGGTACTTTTTCCTTTTTTTTTTTTTTTACAGTTTGTACATTTTATTAGATTATAGAATAAAATACAAAAATACAAAAGCAAATAGTAGACCACAGTGAGGAGGAAGAAGGGGGGAAAGTGAGAGGGAGAAGGGGAAAAGAAAAGAAAAGGCATTGACTTCCTCTGTTGTAGTAGAATGAAGCATTAACATCGAACCTCAACTTTTTACTTTTCCATAATAGTATAAACTAGCCATTTCTATAACAACAAATGAATCTAATCAGTAAAACCCAACCCCCCTTTTTTGTGGTCATCAAGTTTTTGACACCTTGCTAAGCACTTTTGGTACTCGAATATTGTTATGTCCTAAAAGTGGTACAATCTATGAAAAGGTTGAAAAGCCCTGCACTAGGAAGACTCCAAAATTGTTTTCAGAGTTATTGCTGTTGAGCCTGGTTTCACCTATTCTGTACCTGTACATTTGGTTTTTCTTGCCAAACTGTAAAACTTACTTTTCTCTTCTTTGAATTTCATTTTTTTAAATAGGGCCCAGCATTCAAGCTTGTTGAGATGGATCTAGGATGACTCACAGCAGCCAGATCAGCGTGGATTGGTGGGCATGACCGGGAGGACGTAGCTAAGTTGCCACAGATGAGTGGGTGTGGCCAGGTGGATGTGAGGGAGTCGGTGCAGCTTGCTCAGTGCCACTGACTCAGCACCATTCACTCAGCATGACCAGGTGGGTGCAAATGGGTGGGTGTGACTGGGTCAGCGCAGAACAAGTCTCACCAACCAACTGGATGTGGGGACAATTCAGTGCCCCACCAGCTCCTCACTCCTTGAACTGCCAGCAACCAAGCACACACATGTGCGCGCACACACACATACACATAAACCCCATTCTGAGTTTGGGGACTTTTATCTGCATCTGTGCTGGAAAGCTGCCAATCACATCCAGGGTTGGGGAGAAGGGCCTCTCCTTTGGCATGCTGCATGCACATGCACACACGCTCACAGAAATACCATTAGAAGTCTGCATCCATGCTGGGAAGCTGCCAATCAAGCTTGCGGAGAAAGACTTCTTCTTTGGTGTGCTGGGCACTCACACATGCGCACGTGTACACACACATGCAGCCCATTTGGAGTTCAGGTACTTTTATCCATAAAGTTGGAAAGTTGCCAATCGCACCGGGCTTGGGGAGAAGGACCTCTTCTTTGGCATGCTGTGCATGCATGCACACACACACACACACACACACACACACACCATTCTGAGCTTGGGGACTTTTATAAATGTTTTCCTTCCCCACCTTGATTAACAAGCTGGAGGCTCCCCTTTGGAGCACAGAATTTCAGTTCTGCAAATGCAGACACTTAGGGAGCTCATTGTTCATTTTTCCCTTTAGTGTTGCTTTTGTAATACCTCCCTTTGCAAACTTCCTCCAGACCAAACTTTAAGTGTCCTGTGATGGCTCTCAGCTACTTCCTGCTGGTCCATGATCAGCATTTTACTGTCAACTTATAATGCCAGAATGAGGCAAGTCCCCAAGCTTGGAATGGTGTATATGTGTGCGTGTGCATGCGTGCGTGCGTGCGTGCGTGCGTGCATGCGTGCGTGCGTGCGCAGCACACCAAAGGAGAGGTCCTTTTCCCCAAGCCCAGGAATGATTGGCAACTTCCCAGCTCTGTGGATAAAAGTCTCCAAACTCCATATGGGATGCGTATTTGTGGTTGTGCACATGCACACAAATGCTTATGAGCACCCAACGTGCCAAAGGAGAGGTTCTTCTCCCTAAGCCCAGGCACAATTGGCAGCTTCTCAGCAGGGATCTAAATAAAAGTCCCCAAACTCAGAAGGAACGGGGGATGTGTGTTCAAGCTCGTGTGTGAGCGCCCAGCACACCAAAGCAGAATTCCTTCTCCCCAAGTCTGGATGTGATTGGCAGCCTCCCAGCATGGATACGGATAAAAGTCCCAAAACTCGGAATGGAGTTTATGTGTGTGTGTGTGTGTATGTGCACATCCGTAGCACACCAAAGGAGAGGTCCTTTTCCCCCAGCCCAGGCATGGTTGGCAACTTTCCAGCTCTGTGGATAAAAGTCTTCAAACTCTGAATGGAGTCATATAGATAGGGCCCAGTGTTCAAGTTTTTTGAGATCCATCTGGATCTTCAGCCTATCTTCTGGGGCGTTGGCTATTCCTGTCAGCATAATGTCATCTGCAGATCTGATGAGTTCCTCTTCTATACCCTCATCTAAATCGTTTATGAATATATTAAAGAATACTGGGCCTAAAATAGAACCTTAGGTTATCCCACTGCTTACTTTCTTCCATGTAGATGAAGTTCCATTGAGGACTACACATTGAGTGTGGTTTGTCAGCCAGTTACAAATCCATCTGGGGATGATGCTGTCTATCTCACATTTTTCTAACTTACCAAAAAGTAGGTTGTGGTCTACTTTGTCAAATTGAAATCCATATACTCTGTCCACAGCATTTTGCTGGTCCACTAATTTAGTCACTTTGCCAAAGAATGAAATAAGATTTATTTGGCATTATCTGTTTTTGACAAACCCATGTTGGCTTCTAGTTTGCTTGCTTCTAGGTGTTCGCAGATCTGTTCCTTGATTATTTTTTCCAAACTTGTCCCAGGTATTGATATCAGACTGATTTGTCTGTAGTTTCCCGGATATGGTTTTTCCCCCTTTTTTTGAAGATGGGAACCACATCAACTCTTTTTCCTCATGTACTAGTACTTCAAGTTTTCCCTGTTTGTTCCTCAAACATTGAGCTTTACTGCATAAGCATCTGAGTCCTTTATGGCTGACTCTGGGTACTTCCTACATCTCTTACTTTGTATCGGGGTGTATGGGGTGTTCAGGGAGGGGTAGCACCTCTGGTGGAGGGCATGTCGTGCCCTTTTTTTAGGGCAGCTCGTACACCTTTGGTCCCCACCTGACACTCAGCTCTCACCTGTGGCTCCTAGTAGCTGTAACATGCACAGCGGCCACACCCCGGGCAACAGCTTCGACAGGCTGGCCAAGCCAGGTTGAAAGTAGCTGTTGTGTCTTCGACATTCGGTGAGCAAGGGATTTGTCTATCCCAAGCATGTGAAGACAGACTCTGGCGGATTGAGCGGATGAGACCTATTAAAATAGGACCAACGATCATGAAGGCAGTTTCTGCAAGCGACGTGGTATGCTGAGAGCACGGCAAGACACGAAAGATGCCCTGGTCAACCACTGTGCCCAGCCCATCTCCAACTGTCTCGACTTTTGTCCTGCCATTGGAACAATATGGAATCTGGGAAGAGAGAGTGAGGCTGACTATGCGCACCTCTCCCTCACTTTAATCCAATCCACGCCCAAGTCTTGACATCTTGACTTTCCCTAACTCCCACAAATCTTAAAGTCCTGTGGCGATAGGCGAGCGGTGAAGCAGCAGGTGTGGAATCACTGGGAGCTGTGGACGCGGACCTGCACACAGGCGGCTCAGGTCTAATGCACAAAAAGACGTCCTGGATGCACCCACGCTCCAGGCACTGGCATCTCATTGATTATGTCATTGTGCGGAGGAAAGACATGCAAGATGTAAGAGTAACTAAGGCCATGCCAAGTGCTGACTGTTGGACTGACCATAGACTCATCATTTCCAAGTTAAATATTCACATCAAGCCAAAGAATCGTTCACAGGGAAACAGAGTTGTGATGAAAAAGATCAATGTCAGTACACTGGAAAACCCCGACGTAGTAGCTTCATTAGTAAAAGAACTTGACAATCAACTCCCAGAGCTGCAAATACAGGAAAATGCTGAGAAGGACTGGGAATGTTTCCGGGACATCTTGCACTCTTATGCACTTAAGGTTCTTGGACCTTCATATAGGAAGCAGCCGGACTGGTTTGATGAAAACGATGAAGAGATTAAGGCCTTGCTTGATGAAAAACACCACCTCTATTGTGCTCATCAGAATGACCCATCTTCAACTGCAAAGAAAAATGCTTTTACTAACACTCGCAGGATTGTACAGAGCAAGCTCCGCAAGATGCAGGACTCCTGGTTGAGTGCCAAAGCAGATGAAATCCAGACGTTTGCTGATAGAAGCGACACCAAACGGTTCTATGAAGCCCTTAGATCCCTGTACGGACCTCAGCCCTCAGGAAGCTCCCCTTTACTGGATTCGAGTGGTGCAGCTCTCATCACTGAGAGGACTCTGATTTTACAGCGTTGGGCTGAGCATTTCCACTTTGTGCTGAATCACCCATCCACTATCAATAATGAGGCGATCGACAGATTACCCCAGGTGGATATCAACTATAGCCTGGATGTCCCACCATCAGAGGCTGAAACCTCACAGGCCATCAGTCAGTGTTCCAGTGGTAAGGTGCCAGGATCTGATGCAATCCCAGCGGAAGTCTATAAGGCTGGTGGTGCTGTGCTTGTTGAAAAACTCACACAGCTGTTCCGGTCTTTCTGGAAACAAGGTTCCATCCCTCAGGAACTGAAAGACGCGTCCATCGTGCACCTCTACAAGAGGAAAGGAAATTGACAAGTCTGCGATAATTATAGAGGAATATCACTTCTCTCCGTCGCAGGCAAGATCTTTGCACGAGTGTTGCTAAATCGCCTGATTGACCATCTGGAACAAGGTCTACTACCTGAGACACAGTGTGGTTTCCGCAAAGAGCGTGGCACAGTGGACATGATCTTTGCAGCATCAGCTCCAGGAGAAATGTCAGGAGCAGAATCGTGAACTATATACCACCTTTGTGGATCTCACCAAGGCTTTTGACACAGTTAGTCGTGAAGGATTATGGCGCATTATGTCAAAGTTTGGGTGCCCTGACAGATTTATTCTGATGGTACGGCAGTTCCATGATGGCATGGCGGCTCGTGTTCTGAGCAACGGTGACGCCTCAGAGGCTTTCCCTGTCACAAACGGCGTTAAGCAAGGCTGCGTACTGGCACCAACCTTGTTCAGCATGATGTTTTCAGCCATGCTGTCTGACGCCTTTCAGAACAGCTCAGTGGGAGTCAATCTGAGGTACAGAACCGATGGGAAATTGTTCAACCTGCGAAGACTCCAGGCTATCACCAAGGTAAAGGAGACTGTGCTACGAGATCTTCTCTTTGCTGATGACTGTGCCCTTAATGCAGGATCGGAGCAGGAAATACAAGCCAGCATGGACAAATTCGCAGTCGCTTGTGACAACTTTGGCCTCTTTATCAACATGAAGAAAACTGAAGTGATGTACCAGCCAGTTCCAAAAGCCCAATACCAAGAGCCTACCATCACAGTGAAGGGACAAAAGCTGCAAGCAGTAGACCAATTTATGTATCTTGGTAGTACCCTCTCCCGTGCAGTGACAATTGACATCGAGGTCAACTGTAGAATTGCCAAGGCAAGTTCTGCATTTGGTAGACTGCGGACTAACGTGTGGGACCGCCGTGGAATAAGCCTTGCTACTAAGCTGCTCTGATTTGACCTGCTCACTAAAACTCTCTTCCTGTTTTGTAGCGAGGAAGGGAAAGCAGTTCATCCAGTCACTGTTCCAGACACAATCACGGAGTGGAACGCAAATGCATTCTGTCTGGCAGATATAGGCTTTGGCCTCTCCCAATTAACCACAATCAGGGTGTTCCAGCCCTTCTTCATTGATCTGACTTTGCCGTATTCTGTGATTCGGGGAGAGACTTTCCAGATAAAGGTCATGGTCTTTAATTTCCTCAAGGACTGTATCCAGGTGAGAGACCATTTAGGACAGGCCAGAAATCTTACAAAAATTAGGAGGAGGAAATTCACGATGGGCTTTAGACATGGAGACCAAGATTGCAAACAGAAGCATTGTATTCCTTTCTGTATCTGACAGAGGATACATTCCTAGTGGCCCCAATTTCTTCCCCACAAACCATGGCAAAAAAATTGAAGTTCATGAAGTACTTTCAGAGGTTTGCATAGCAAAATTCTCCAGTGGGTTCCTACCAATCTTAGCTGGTAAGAAGTAATTTCCTGACCCATACATGGTCTTGAAGTTCTACTGGACATAACTCCATATTATCCCATCCTGCATATGTAAGTTCAGTGGGCACAGATACTGGCGGTTGGCCTGTATCCCTTCATGTGCTCACATTGTGCCTGCTCATCTTCTGTCTCACCTTTCATGTTTCATCCAGGTGAGAGTGACCCTGCTAGAGTCCGAGCAGGTGGAGGTGAAACCATGTCCTGACTGCCTGTTCACCACCTGCCTGTGCACTGAAGAAGCCAAGGTCTTTTCCTGGAACGTGACAGCTACCCAGCTGGGTAAGACTGAGGCTGTAAGGACCTGCCTCAATCAGTCCTCCCAAGAAACCAGAACTCTTGAAATGGACATCATTTTAAAAGGAACCTTTATTGGAAGGTGTTGACAGCAGTAATAGAAGGCAGGATCTGAGGATTTCCCATGTGAATCAATTAGTCAAAAGAGTCAATGAAAACCCCACCCCAACTGTCCATCCACATGGTTTGAATGGGCCAATCTACAGGTGTGAAAATCTTGTGGGAACGGAGTGATAAGGCACCACTTCCAAGGCTATTAGATCTCCGCGCCTCTTCTTCTGCATCCAGAGATAAGGCAGATTGCCACAGGCACATTCCATTCTCACCCTGAGAAAGAAACATCAAAGAGGATAGCGCAAGAAACAAAGCAAAGGAAATACACTGCAGCAACCCCAAGCTTCCCCCTCCCCCCAGAAGAATGGCAGAACCCAAAAAAGAACAAGAAGCCCCATGTCCATTGTTAAGTCCGGAGAATAATGGCGCTTGAAGCAATGCATTTCCAACATATCTTTATTCTCTGACTACAATCTACGAACAACCCGAGCAGAGGCATGCAGGCCTCTATTTATACCCTCTGATCCCCGGGCAATTCCAACCAATCACAAGGCGGTCTTTTCCCGCCTTGCGCATGCGCGCAAGGCTGGCGCCGCTCAGTCTGGTCCCGGGCAGCTTTTGCAAATGCCCGGGACTCTTGCAACGTCCCGAGCCTGCTTCCGCAGGCTCAGGACACAACACCCCTCCCCCCTAGATAAAATAATACTGCGCCCAACATGGACGCCACCATGATAAAGTGTGTGTTACTAACTGTTGCATTAATTTTACAGTGTGTGTGAGATATGGGGCCGTTCTGTCATTCAGAGAACCAATGTGCTCCAACCCCGTTTCCACAAGTCAACCAGTCTGAACCTCTAGTTCAAGTTGCTATATACTTGCTCACCTTACGTAATCTGCAAGGTATTTGGGAGGGCCTTTTACCCATAGTGACCTTCTCGAACCTGGGGAACTTGTAATGTTTTCCCAGTTGCTTTCCACGCTAGGTGAATTACCCTGTGGCTGTCTCGTGTGAAGACGGACGGAAAGGACGGGCAGAGGATCCGAGCACTTCAGTCCTGAGACGACAAGTGATATGGACCAACTGGATGGTGGATACCTCAAAAGGTTTGGGAGACTTGAGTAGAGTTACAAGGGGCTTCCACACATTAAAAGGACCGAGGAAAGAGTAGTGATAGGGTCCAAGGATACCTCCCTGTTAGCCCTAATACATGGGGACATCCTTCTGTGAGCCATTGCTGAAAAGGACATGTCCCCGCCTTGTTGTGCCTGCTCTCTTGTATGTTGTGAGTTGTGAGTATGCTCCCAATCAGTCTCCGTGTGTGGAGTATTGTTGGTGAAGTGTGGATAGTTAGTATACCTCCGGTGTGACTCCCAGGCTGGAGTGCGTGTGGGGGTGTCTGTTTGCCCCCTGCCCCATGAATTCCTACTTGGAGCACTTGCGGAACGTGGGTGTTGTGTACCCATGTTGCCCTCCACAGCCATTGTTGGCTGCTGATCCTGATTCCCAGAATGCATTTCCCATTCCTCCTCCCCCCCTAGAGGAGACTGAGGAGGAACCCTAGGCGAGTCCCGCCTCACACGTAGTTGATCAATGTGGCGGCGAAGAACGCGGCCGTCTTCCAAAGATACCTCGTAGGACAGAGGCCCCGAGACCTTGCAAACCACGGCCGGGACCCAGAGGTGTCCAGGCCCGTAATTCCTGGCCCAGACAGGATCACCTTCATGCAGGACCCGTGGTGGGTGTGGCTGAGACACCTGTGAAGCTACACGCTCCAGATGCAGCCTGTCCAATTTAGTCACGAGCCGACGACCCCAACGGAGTTCGGCCGGGCACTTACCCGTGGCAGTGCACGGAGTAGTACGATGGGCTAGAAGAAAGTCAGCCAACCTGTGATGCCAATTGCCGTAAGTCAGTTTCTTGAGGGCGTCCTTGGTGACGCGGACCATCCGTTCAGCCAGACCGTTGGTGGAAGGATGGAAAGGAGCCGAAGCAGCGTGGCAGATCATGTTGGCTTGTAGAAACCCCTGAAACTCAGTAGAAGTAAATTGAGGACCATTATCCGACACCAGAACATCTGGCAATCCATGTGCAGCAAAAATGTTTCTCAACACCTGAATGGTCTTGGCAGCAGTGGTAGATGACACAGGCACAACCTCCAGCCATTTGGAATGGCTATCAACAACAACCAGGAAGAATTGACCCTGAAAGGGCCCAGCGTAATCTATATGTATTCTAGACCATGGAGTGTGTGTTTCCTCCCACCTATGCACAGGGGCCTGGG